AATGATTGATTTCCTATAGCATTTTTTTTTTTTGTTCCTTTTAGTATAGTGTTTAGTAATCAATTAAAATAATTTTAAATTATCTACATGGCAACGTTTAAGGAATTAACAGCGGAGTGGGCTGGCATTACTAATAATGGAAACTCGCATTGTAGCTTTGCAGGTTAGAACAAAATAATTATTTTATTGCATTAAACAATTAATTTAGTTTATTCTTATTTTAACTGTTATTATAATATATCTATGTATAAACTAAGAATTACACAATATCGTCCTTAAGTTACTAGTAATTAAGTGTTTTATATGGTGGTCGTATAAATTAACTATATATTATTTTTTCCACGCCTAAAACAATAATATTATCACCACTGTTTTGAAAATGCCGCCTCCGTACAAAAGTGCCGCCCTAGTCGTGTGCCCAAATGTCGCCTACCCCTAGGGCCTGTTATTACATTAAAGACAGAAATTTACTACATTTTTTCCGGTACCTATATGTAGTTATTATAACAGTGTAAATTGAGCAATTGTTAGAATTTATTATTATTTAACGTCTTATGATTTTAATCGTTTAATTTATACAACACCGACATTTAGTAAAAACCTTATAGCAACCACAATGTATTTTATGCACGTATTACTGATAATTAAATATGTAATTTATTTAGGTAATCCTATATATAAATCTGGTTGGTTAACCTTATGTTTATGTACCTAATACACTAGGGGCTGTTATTACAATGTCCAGCTAAGGTTTACGCTAACGATAAACTTACTAATGAGATATTAAAATAAAATCAGGTTTTAAATAAATTTTTTTTTTGAAAAAAAAAACAAAGGTTTTCAAACAAATTTATGTGCATAATTCAAGAGATACCTTCAATGTAAGCAGAACTCGAGTTTCTGAATGTTGCACTGATTATTAAATTAATTCTAAATTTTTTTTGATATCAAATCAAAGTTTCTAATCTGACGAAGTTCTATTTTTTTTATTGTTAAACACTCAAATGTATATAACTTATATCATAATTCATAATTAAAAGTATAACATTTTTTTTTTTAGAAAGTTGAATTAATACGTAATTTTAATTACAGCTATTAAACTAGTAGTTATAGCATAGCACTATAAACTACCCGATAAATTAAGTAGGTACTTAGGTATATTTATTGTCTCCGTTTAGTACAAAATGGTGTATTTTGTTTTTTTTATACAAAATATCGCAAGTAAAATATTGTAACTAGAACCACGGTTAATATTATTTATTACAGAAATGATAATATATTATTATGTTCACCACAATATCCTTCGTTTTCTTCACAGCGTTCTCGTTTTAAAATCTACTATTGTCTCCCTAATCTATTTACCTACAATGTTGTTATTATTTTATTTCAATGATGCTATGCATATATTATAATATTATTTATTTAAAAAAAATAATGTTCGTTACATCATATTAATATCTACAAGAGTTATTCTCGTATAGTTTTATTGAGTCCGTTTTAAAAGTTGAAAATACAAAAAACAATGTGTTTTTACAAATTACCTTACAATTACAAATATCATGTATTATACATGTACAAATTAATAAATTAATATAGGCATGTATTATATTATAAGTATGAAATAATAATAATCTAGAACTGATTTTTTATTGAAAAACATAATAGTTTAAGTTGATAATTTACGTAAATAACACATGCTGTTAAATAGCTACCTATATATTTCAAATATTGGGTTGCGTTTAAGCATAATAAATATAATCTTATAAGGGTTGTGTGGTAGTACAACACTTATAAAAGTACTTATATGCATAATAGTTTGTATTTATAACAGTTCATTACCTTTATTATAAAATATGTCAAATACTCAAATATGTAAATTGTGTACGTGTAGGCTTTACTAAGTAAAGTAATTTTCTTTTGTCTTCTATATTTTAATATACAGTTAATATTATAATGATACGTAATTTTTTTCACAAATTTATTAAATAAAAATATTTATTCAAAAAAAAAGAAAAGATAAATAATTTCAATACTTAAGTTATTTTAAAAGTGTGGCTTATAATGCATTCAGTTTCTACTTACATTTTGGCGTTTAAAAAGTTTATTTATACTTAGTGATTTAAATTTTATTATTAGACTATAGTATATTTTATTATAGTCTAACATCATTACCTTCATTTCAAGTTATTAAAAATTAAACCAAGAATTTCGCACACCTACCTAATGTCAGAAAATTAAATATTAAATTTAAGGTTAAAAAATGAATCTCAGTGGGAATTTAATAAATTATAATTCTTAACGAAATTATCTTTAATGATTATTATCATTATCAGTAGATTATTTAATGTTTGAGGACTTTCAAATATAAAACTAGTTTTAAGTTAGGAATTCTTATTGAAAAACAAAGATAACAAGTAAGATTTATTTACATGTTAACATTTAACGATTTAACTTTACTATAATATCTACTACTTACCTGTTGCACTCTACTCAATGTTTTACATTCGTTTATAATTTTATAATACTCTTGATATTATAGAAGTCATACTCCAATAATCAGTTCCATAATCCATCTTATATGAGATTAAAATCTGGTCATTATTTTTAATTGTGATACATAGGTATTGCATTATTATTTATTACATATTATTATGCCAGTCGCCAGAGTATACAATATATATTATGCTAAACACTTTGAAGAGGTATATGTTAAAAAATAAAAGACAATAGGCCTGATTATACTGCACTAAGTTCGTAGAAAGTATGACCCTATGTCGGAGAAAGGCATAAGTTACCGGCCATTTTAAACTGCCGTCTGATCTATATCAAATTGCTAGGTTTTTTCATTCAAATTGCCGTGAAAGCAAAATCAAACGGAACAAACTGAACGAAATTTACTTTTGCGTTAGGTAATCGTTGCGAATTAAAAGCAACGACGTTTCCTACATATTTCTACTTCTTCGAGATTGATTTTTATCAAGTTACTGAAGGTGGTTTTTCTACAAATTATAGGTACCTACCTACGTTTTTTTTCCTATCCCTGGTAGACACGCATTTTCAATTGTAGCCTGCACATTGCAGGTAAGTCTCGACACGTTGTGTTCACTTTGTTGCGACGAATGATGTTATATATTTTTCGAATGTTCAATGTTCTATATTGCAGTTTATTTGTAGAATAGATACTGCAAGGCACATAATATAACGGTCCGCAGATGATGATAATACAATTAATTAATATCATAAATTATTATATGTGTTAAAATGAGAGCAAATATCACCTCGGGTTAAATGTGTGAAAAATAATAAAAGTCAAACTCGTCGAACCATCATCCATTGTTATCGTCTTTGGCAAAACATAATATTAATATATTTTGAGGTCGTCTTCCGAGACTTTGCGATTTGCATTTTCGCCTCGGAGTACAAAATGTGTGTACACTAAAAGTATTTATTAATTACATACCTATATAATACCTATATATATATGTATTACTATCTATATTAATAGCGATGAGAAACTTATTTACTTCTATATCATCACACCACTTGAACGATAAGTGTTTTATAAGGTAGCGTGGGATACACATTTCTTAAATTTCTCCTCGAGTAAACAAAGAAATATTAATACACATTTGATCCCTTAAGTATTTATGTGGGCGTTCGTAAATCATTAATTACACGGAATAATTAGTCTGGATTGAAAAGTAAAATTACATTTTTCGCGGTTATGCAACAAAATAATAATATTATAAAAGATTGAAAATATCCCCCCCCCCCCCCGTATAAGACTTCGCTGTTTACATTAATTTATTTAAAACAGCATGAATAGTATTTAGAATTTTTCTCAGATAAAATACATTTTATGAAACACTTCACAACTATTACCATGGATTACGTATTTGAGTATTTCGTTACATATTATAATATTTTATGTTTTTCGTGAAATGTTACCTATTAAAAATTAAATTTTAAATATTTTTATAATTAGTAACATTACATGTTCCTAATGTATATTATAATATTATTAGTGAATACTAATGACGATACACCTACGCAACGTCATAAATTACGTATTTTATAATAAAACATAATATTATATTGCTTTCCATAATTATTCACGTAACTCGTTACTTAAAAGGTTTCAATATATTGTTCCGCCTACGAAACCAATTGAATTCTTAAAAGTTTTTATAACATTCATTTTGACAAACTTAGTAAGTACCGCGGTATACATATTGTAGTACATGACACTCGTAACTTATTTTACAGCGTGGTGGCGGGCGGTGGCATTAAGAATCATTAACCTAAGCATCATTTTTTTTTTTTTACCGAAGATATTTAATGATGTTTTCGCGTACATATTATATGAAATCGTCGTCGGCGATGTATTCAATTTCGAAAAAGGATTTATTTTTCTTTTGTTACTTTATATATTAGGTATAGTGCATTTTCCGCGTTTTCATTTTCAATGTCAAAATAGAATAAAAAAACGATAAAAACGAAATTGTCCGCACTTAAGTAATATTTAACGAGGCAATTTACGACGATCGGCTTCTGCTTATAATAATGTAATACACAGTATTATTATTATTGCTCGGTCAGGTCTGAAAACGAGTATATACGAAATATTATACGTTTGCCTTGAACATAATCGCGTGCGTATGGGCTCGCATGTGGTCGGGTTATCAATACTTTTATAATAGTTGAAATTCAGTCTCGATCGCGATGCAGCGTGGCAAGGGTCGGCACAAAGCGGTAGACGTTTTATAACAATATATTAATTTATTTAATGCAATACAATACAATACAATATAACGACGACGACGACGACGACGCGATTTTTTGATTATTCTATAAGACGTATATTCGCTCGTCGAGTAGTTCTGTTATCGTTGTAAGACCGAATTTCGTCCGTGTTTGAATATATTACTATAGTATTTAGCATAATATTATAACAGTGCATAGACGGTACATAATATATTGTTCGACAAGTAATACATATCATGCAACGAGTTCGGCACCGGTGTCTCAGCATGGAATTTGAAGATTCGTTTGGTGTTCTAAACGGTAAGCCGAATCAATGAAAAGTTTACTATAAAATAAATATATATATATATTTATGAATACGGTCGTGACTACTTTTACTTTCGGTCCGACTAATGCACCTATGGGTTAATAAAAATAATATAATAATGCGTAAATATTGTTTGAGGCTAAACACGATTTGGAAGTTTCTAACTGGTTCGTTTGTCTTATGTCAAAGTTTTTTTGCGTGGTTTCCTTTACCGTTATTTGGGAATATGTTATATATTATTATACATTATACTTCCCTTCCGTTACAACTCGATCGATATATTAAATGTTAATAAAATATTAGACCGTTTATCAAGCCTGGAGAAATGGAAAGCATTATCCGACCGTTTATAATGTATGGGTACCTCCTATAATACGACAGACTATATTATGTCATAAACGGAAGACGATAATTAGTTCGAAAGAATAATATAGCTATTGCTCACGATCGATCATAATATACGTCATATTATTATCTTTTTATACGCATTCGTCTAATCGTTTTTTTTTTATTTCAATTACCTTTGATAAGTAAAATGATAATTATTACAATTTTTCCCTTTTCTGTGGAATCTGCAGTCGTACCTAAATCTGTGAAAACTCACGAGATTAGCGAGTAAAGACCGACTGTATTTTTTATACCACATGGAAAAAACATCAATTAATAACTATATATCTCGCTATATATTGAAACAATTATAGGTACTGTACAAATAAGTATTGATAATAATATCTACAACATAATATTATATATTATGTGATATATTATTATTATTGAGAGTAAATTGAGTTTAACCTGTGAGTTAAAATTGTGTACACGTTAGTTTAACAATTTTTTTTTATCTAATTGGAACGTTGAGATAAAATAAAACATATCGCACGAGAATGCGAACGTTTTAAACTTTTAAGTTTAAACTCTAAAGTTTAGATAATTTCATTTTGAATATCCTATACAAAGTACTAACTATACGATAATAGGTAATTATATTGTTTTTGACAAACTATTTTAACATAATATTTATAAGTCAAAAATAATACCTTTAAATTTCTGATTTACTATTTAGTAAAGTTGTAATTAGAAAGACGTTAACTCTGGAACCATACAATATTAGGTACATTATGTACAAGTAATATGGTATAGCTGGTATTAAAATATGACGCATAATATAAATTAATTATACTGCAGCATTATTGTTTATGTAGAGGATTTTATATTTTCATTGATAATTTTTTCCACACGGTATTAAACTTGAATGAGGCTAATTTAAAAGTGCCGCAAGAATTAATTTTGTATACAGTTACTTGCTATGAGAGTTTGTGCCAACTTAATAATAATTTGCCTCATTCAAAGGTGAAATATGTCGAGTTTAATAATCAGTTATTGTCCCATTATTAATGTTATTATTGAAAGGTGAAGATCCTGCGTAACCCATTGTGCATCATTAATTCTTTAATAATGTGAATGTTAAAAATCGGAATTCTCAATTCTTCCACATGTAAGCTAAAATGTTATTCACTCGGGTTAACTAGCATGCATGTTCGTGTGCTATTTCACATCATTTTTAATGTAATAGTTACCTACCTTCAGTAACTCTGTCCAAGTTGTTAGTAAACAAAAACCCAGTGTATGTGCACTACAGGTAAACAACTAGTAAATTTAAATATTTTATAATAAAACTGATTTTTTGATGATAGTTCTTAAAAGTTAAAGTTCATCCTGTATGGCTGTAATAAACTCAACGAAATTTTAAACAAGTTCAATAATAATATCTATGTTGTAATATTTTGGATTCTGAAGCACTGCTAGTTGTAAGGAGGTATTTGTAATTGGTTTCCCAGTCATGTTTTATTTTCATTTTATTATATTAAGCTTTACTGTATTCGGGTAGAGTACAATACAGTTTCATATAGTCCTTGAACTGGATGGTACTTGGGAGATCTTTTGATTTGCAGGTTGCAAAAATGTGAGCAAGTGCGGTTTAACATATCTCATTAATTACCCATGCTTTAAAAATATATATATAATCCTATCACAATATTATAATATCCTCAAATAGTTTTTGAATGGCATAAATCTGTCTGTTAAAAAAAAAAACAACGGCGTACTTAAATTTAACACTTAGCTATAGTCCGATTGTTTTGAGTACACTAGATTTGTAGGTATTTAATAAGTTAAGACTTGAGATTTGTAACTATATAAGCTGAAAAACTAATGTTTATAGTAATTTGATACTTTCTTTAACTCGTATTGTAATAATGCATGACAATAGTGAATAGTGTGATGATCGTCTTCCTACCTATCTCATTTCAAGGTTTCGTCTTCCTTATACAGGCTCTCTGCTGTAGAGTAGTATTTCAAACTGTGTCATGGATATTGAATTCTATAGTTGGGTTTTGTTCTTTTGAATTGTACACTGCACACACGCGTTAATGTGTTCACGACAACATTTGTTTTACGTCAATTGTTTTTCGGAAATTAGGATTCGATCAATTGCATCATACAGTAATGTGTAGGTACCTACGGCGTGTAAGCCTATATGGTACTTTAAGTGATTCACATAGGTTTCGAGTTCGTTGATCAAAACCAGTTGTTTTGTTTTTTATTTTTTTTACTTTCAAACGTACCTTAGCTTCCTTGACAAGTGAACCGGTTCCTCGTTATTAACATTGCAAATGCAATATTGTTAGTCTTGTGTTACAACAAAGGGGATAACATATAGTTTATGGGTATATAATGTATATGAAGAAAATATAAATAAGCCAAGTATAATAAATCTATGACATAACTTGATCAAAACTAACAACGATAAAATCAGTAACCACAATACAGATATTTTTTTTAAAACGTACCTACTTATATGCACTATGAACGACGAGTACCTGAAGTAGGTACCTACTGCCTATCTCCTACAGAAAATATTAATTATAATTGATTTACCACTCGAGTAAATTTAAAACATTGTGCGTTCTTGAATAAAAGCTAATGATAGGTAGTTCAACATCTACATTACGTTGTTTTAATTTTAATTTTTATATTAATTTCCTACATAATATTATAATGTATAAAATATTCATGTCCTTGCAGGAAGCCTACATGTACCTATTAGACATGTACACATTAGACAGGTTAAAAACCATAGGTACCGATATCTCACGTTTAGTCAAAAGAAAATTAAACATAATATAATATATTTCATAGCCATGAAAGGTATGGGTATCTTTAATTAAAGAAATATTTAAATAACATCTGTTCGGCTGTGGTGCCTGTCAATTTGTTTGTGAGCTTTAATTATTTGGTCGATAAACGTAAGTAGGTAGATAATCGGAAAAAAATATTATATATGAAACATTTTATTATTATTTAGTGTGGCATAAGAAGGACAATTGCTTTTACAATAATTATGGGTCTATTTAAGACATTTAATAATAACTATTTATTAAATTAACCATTAAATATTTTTTTGTCACACCGCTCTAAGCAGATTTGAAATTATAAGATGCAGTAATCGAGGAATATGTAAACGGGAAAAATAATAATTTATAATATACTATCAGTAATGACTAATGACTCGCACTAATGAGTATTATATCATATTAATACCATACACAAAATATTCAAGTACAAATTATTTCCCTCAAGTAAAAATGTCAAACATCAAAAACAATTTTAAAACGTAATTAAATATTCAGGAAAAATGAATATATATAATTTATTTTAAGTATACAATCTAAGTGTGCTTTGAATATCGAGTAATTTACTATATAAAGAAAATGAGAAATGAAGAAAAAGAAAAATAGACTGGTTTATTTAACAATTTAGTTAAAAACAAGACTTTTCGATCAAAATATAATACATTTTTATTTTAATAAGCTATATCTATATGGGTGTCTCTAACCTAACCTTGGTGGCTTGGTTTTAAGTTTTATTTTAATTTTATTTTTTAAACATCTTGACGTAAAATATTTGTGAGAGAAAATTATGAAATACCGTTGCTTTGTATTGTACATAATATTATACTTCTATATATATTCAATCATCAATGTGTCTCCAGATTCCTTAAATTGATTCGTCGGTCTATGTCATATCCTGTGTGGTAAAAGTGAACAAAAAAAGTCAATCCATAACCTTGAACGAAGGTTAACCATGTTCCTACTTCATCGTGTACTTACACTTTCTATACCTCGTCGAGAATTCTAACAGTCTATGCAACCAAACATTACCTACTATACATCAAGATATCAAATAATAGTATACTATACAAAATACCTACATTCAATAAAACCATATTCTGTTCAAAAACCTTAACATTTACTAACGGTAGATATATACGATAATATTATACCTTGATCACAGTAATAAATTGTAATATTTAATAGTGAATTTCCTTTTTTTTACTTAATAATATCTTTATGCTTTTATAAAAACCATAATATTAGTGGTTAGTCGGGGGGTATATACCGTGATCACACACCAGAGCTATACATTGTAATATTTAATAATGGATTTAAATATTTTTTACATAATATCTTTATGTCTATAGTCCATGATATTATAGTCTGTACCTCTTAAATAATATTTACGTAAGAAAAATATAATTTTTAATATTCTCAAAAACACAGTTATATATTATACAGAAAACTGAATGTATCAACATCTTAATCAATATGAATTAAAACTATCTACAGCAACATTACACAATCAAACAACTGGAGTTTAAATAAAACAACAGTCTGATTAGTGATTAGTGATTACAATATAAAGTAATATCGATTTTCAAAATAAAAATTATAAATTATATTTTGTTAGTATAAGTACCTAACCTAGTAGCACCTATTTAAAATATAATAGTACATATTTTGTACTATTATACTTATGAAATTAATAATTAATATCTATTTTTATTATCGAACTACAGTGATTAAAAATAAATTATAATTCTATACTTCTATACAGTTGACTTTTTTTTTATTATTTCTCTATTGATTATATAGTA